GAACATGTGCATTGAAATTGGCTTTTAACTGAAAAAGAACAAAAAAACATTTTAATGTAAATTTATGAAGCAGAAAAACAAGTGGTTTAGTTGATTCCACCTTTTTGTCTGTCCACCATTAATCTCTTCAGGTTAGAGAAGAGTGCGACAGTCCGGATCCCGGTAGACCAGCTGGACTCGGCAAAAAGATGAAAGAGATCTCGCTGACCATGCGGAGAAAGATGTGCAAAAAGCACGCCAAGTCTCTTTCGGAGGAAACAGTGAGTCATTTTTAAGACGTTTTCTTCACTAATCAGGATGAATCTCTTGACTTTGCATGACGAGCAGTTCAGCTGACACAGATAATCAAAAAGCCCCCTTAGTACTTGTCACAGCATCTACTCCAGACCTGTGCTCTTCTTTTATCACATTCATCTAACACAAACCCACATCCTCGCACATGACGCTGGTCTGAGCAAAAACACAATTCTGCTTTATACTTTGACCTGTAAAAAATAAAAAAAAAACCCATCTTCCTGCAGGTTCATATTTTGCTGTCATACAGATTCAGAGATTCAGAGATGCTAAACTTTGAAAGTTCAGCAATTTCCATCCTTACCCAACACTGTATATTTTAGCTTACTCTCATTTCCTGGTTGATTATTATATATTTTTTTGCCTTTGAATGTGATCCAGGGAGATGACACAGACAAAGACCCAGAAGCAGAGACGGAGAGCAGCCCAGCAGTTGAGAAAAGCTCTGCAAAGACGAGCAACTCTTTGGAGAGTCTGTACAGCGGCCAGAGCTCCTCCAGTGAGTGTTTACATCCGATCCATGCACAGTGAAGTGTCAGAACCAGAGCTGTGTACTTATGATTCATTTACCGGTTCAGGTGGTATCACCAGCGAGTCCAACGGTTCCAGTCAGAGAGACAGCCTGAAGCTGGAGGAGGACGGCTCCTACCTGGGTCAGTTCTGCGGCCGGGCTCGGGTCCACACTGATTTCGTTCCTAGTCCTTATGACACAGACTCGCTGAAACTGAAGGTAACTTCCAGCCAAACTATCCTACTAGTAATGGAGAGTTGGACAGAAAACAATGTTTCAACCTTTAATTGGATTGTATAGGTCGGCGACATCATTCACATCATCAGGAAGCCTCCGATGGGCATCTGGACCGGCATGCTCAACAACAAAGTTGGCAACTTTAAGTTTATCTACGTGGATGTTTTGGCAGAGGAGAAGGAGAACGAAGAAGAGGAGGAAAGTCCAAAGATCAGACAGCAGAAGCTGTGCAAGAGGCCACGACCTAAAACGCTGCTGGAGTTACTGAAGCGGCTGAACATGGAGGTGAGGACAGGAGCCAGGAAAAATCAAAGCATTTTTGTCAAGTTAGAAATTTAAACGAGAACTTTTCAATGGTCAGTCAGATTCAAAACTGGACCTCGCAATTTCTACTCAGTAACTTTCAATATGCAGTAAAATGTTGTTGGCCTCTTCATTCAATATAATTCCAGATTTCTTTGAACCCTCAGATTGATTCTTACATCAACTCTGAGAGAGGCTGAGATCAAAACAGACTTTCACCATAATAAAACAACTCCAGTCCTAAGAACATCATCACTATACATTATTTTGTGAACCTTCAATCCTTTGTCATGTTTACACCGTACGGTTATTTACAGAGTCTGCAGGCATTTTCAGATGTCTGATTAAAAGTCAGGAATAAAACGACCTAGCTGTTATCTAGCTTTAGCTATCTTTCACTATGATCAAAGCAGACTAATTCTATCTTAGAACAATGAATGCTGAATATTGTCCTACTACTTTGTATTTCATTTTTTTAGATGAGGGATTTACAACTCAAATCTTCGAGTGCCACTGTTTGGGAACTTTGGCAAATGTTTGTGATTGATTTCAGACAGCAGACATCTGCTTTTGGTCAATGATAGCTGCCTGCTTGGTAGCAGGTTCACTTATTCTGTATTGTAGAATAACAGTATAAATCTGTAGACTTCTCTGTAAAGTCTGTAAATGATGATCCATTTCAAACACAATGAAGGTTTAAAGCTTTATAAAACAGTGATCGCATATAGAGCTGAGAGGTTTTTGAGATTAGTGGTCTTTATATTCGACGCCCAGGTTAGTTTAATCCTCTCCAACTAGCCATTATCTTGAGCCTTCTGGATTTACACTAAATATGCAAACAGGGTTATTGTCTGCTGTGAGATGAAAGCAACGTATAACTTAACCTCACTTTAAAAATCCCTCTAATGAATTGTTTTGCTTCAGGAATACGCCTCTGCCCTGTTGCTGAACGGCTACCAGACAGTGGAGGACCTGCTGCACCTAGAGGAGAAACACCTGATAGAGCTGAACGTCAAGGATCCTGAGCACAGGCAGAAGCTGCTCGCTGCCGCCGACTTCCGCTATGTAGAAGGTCAGCAGCATCCTGAGCAGTCACCCTCTCAATGTGACCCACTCTTAAGAAAACAAACCAAGTTACAGAGCAGAATCAGCACTAGACTGATATATTTGAGCCATTGGAGAGACTTTCTCATTACCTAAGAAACTGTTTCAGGATAAGAACTGAAACAGTATTTATTTATTTTTTTACCTGTAGCTGAAACCATGCCTCTGCCTGCGTGCCGCTATGCACTTACAGCTCACCAGTGATTTCCTGTCAGTCAAACAGAAAGTGCTCGCCAGGACAGAAGGCATTTTTGTAATCTGACATCTCTAACCAGGAGAGCTGGTTATCATGTAGCTCTGAATGAGAACAAAACTTGCACTCGTTGTGATTCAGAGAACTGTGACATGCACTAGTGGGGGTTGTGCTGCATCCGGCAACTCGCAGAAAATGTGATTGAGAGGCCACTGATTATTGTTTGTTTGTTTGGGTGATGGCGTGAGCCCCAACAGATGGCAGCTGCTGCAGCAGCGATGCTGCCAAGCCTGTTGACGTGGATGAGACGGCACTAATTTAATCAAGCTGCGCTCCATTAGGTTAGTGCTGTGGTCAGGGGGATTAGGAGCATCTGACAGCCCACAGAACTGAGGAGTGGTCCCTGCTTGTAGAGGGGAAAACAGAAAGGAGACAGTGATCTGATGCATTCGTTTGCCTATCAAAAAAAGCTACCACCGCACTCGCAGGCACTTTTTACTCATGAAGTTACATGTTCCTGTAGCAGAAATAGATCAAAAGAAATATTAGAGATTAACAATCAGTTTCCACTGACTTGTCACAGATGTTATCTTCTTCTATGTAGGCAGAAGCCCTTATCTCTCAACACGTTTTTTTTTTTAATTCAATTTGTTTTTCTTTGCGGCTGCAGGTGATGATACGAGCAATGCAGAGGAGCACAGATCTTCCCACGGTCAGCAGGAGGAAGACAGCGACTGTCCCAGAGACTCAGGCTGCTTCATCCCGTCTGAGTGTTCAGACACTAAGGAGGACACAGAGCCCGTCGCAGACACAGCGCAGGCATGAGGAGCTCGGCTTATCAGAAGGATTCCAAGAAATTTGGAATATAAAGTCACACTTTTTTTTCCCCCAATATTTCTGATAAAAAAAGAAATCTAAAAATCCGCTCAACATGTAATGTTTCCACCTTGTGTTCTGACCTGGAGCTTGTATAATGTGGGAGCGCTTCAAAAGATGACTGAAGAGGGGGTTACAGTTCAACATGTAATCTCATCCTTGTGTTGCATTATAAAAGTAAAGTTTTCTTGATGTCAAAGAAGTTACAGTTTATTGATATGAAGTCAGTTATATTTATTATATTTCAAATGATCCAGTTTTTTGCCTGCAATTGTTTTAAGCCTTTATTTGTCAGATGAATCACTTTTATATTTCCCATCACATCCAGGCCCAGGCCAGCCCTCAGCATTCAGTCCTTCTTTCCTCTGAATGTGGTGGTTCTGGTGAATGTGTCTGGCTGATGGTCTATATTACACACTGTACATAATACATGTATTATTTTGAGCATGAGTTTGAATGAGAGTGTGTGTGTTTGTGTATTTGTAAAAACGTAAACCCTACGCTACGTACATATGTATTTATCTGTTTTCACAACCTTTTGTAAATGAATCAATAAAACATATACAGTTATATTTTAGCCTTCATTCATTTCACCTTGAACTTTGTTCTGGATTTTTATCCACGATTAATAAAAATCGTGGATAATTTTTATTTTATTACCATAGAAATAAATGCAAATATTTATTACTATTATAATTATTATTAGTAGTAGTTGTTGTTGTAGAAGGAAAAGAAGAGGTAGAGTGCAAGTTATAGTTGCATTTTATCCAGTTTAAAGATAATTCCTAAAAATTGCTGCATTTAATGGTAAATAGGAAATCGGATTCCGATTTCGATAATTGAATTTCCACGTTAAAATGGAAAAGTTTCCCAGTTAATAACTTGAACAAGATTCTTCCAGCGTGATTGTTACATCATCTGTAAAATATTTTAAATTAAGAGATTTTGTTTGCTAGTAAAGGTTACACCGTGGTTCAAATTTCATAGCCTGCTTTCCCTCACGTTTTCTTTCTTAAGTAAAGCTTGGGCTTTACCAGTGAAGCGGTTGCTGGTTATTTCGCCCGTTTGTCGCTTATTTAAGTCGTTGAACGCCTAACTTTTCTACTATTAATAATACCACTTCTACTACTAATGTATTTTGAGATTTTCCTCCTTAATTGATTAAGTTTATATCTTTAGAAATTAAAGAACATTAAAACGACACGCACTTTGTGCATCAAGACGTCGGAATCTCAGAGGTTTCTGAGATAAAATGTTCATTTCCGAGGTTTTCTAAATGCAACATATGGGCGTGAACTTTCAATGTCTCTAGACGATTGGCCGAGAGCGCGATAAACGTCACGCACTTTGACTTCTCACTACTACTGATGGAAGTCGTAGTCAGTAGCTATCAAGAGCTGAGCAACGCTCCTTATATGTGGTCATGACTGTAAACTACATTACCCATAACCCACAGCGAGCAGTAAATGTTGACGTGTATTTAGTTCAGTTGGTCTAGTTGTCAGAACCGGTGTTTCCATTTTAGAGACATTTTAGGACTTTGCTGTAAGGTCCAGCTGTTTGCGACAATGTCCGGGGAGATTTCTATGATCGGTAAGTTTAATCATAAACAACCCTTTAAGCTAAAACCCATTAGAGGCTCGGCTTCTTGTCCCTCTTGAGATTGATACCCGTTTCGGTTTCGTTGCCGCAGGTTCGGTGATCCTGGCCCTGTTTCTGGCTGGGTATCTGGGTCAGCAGTACTTGCCTCCCCCCAAACCCAAAGTGATCGGCCTGGACCTGGGCACCACCTTCTGCTCGGTGGGAGTCTTCCTCCCGGGCAGCGGGGAGGTGGAGGTGATCGAAGATGAGGAGGGGAGGAAGAGCATCCCTAGTGCGGTGTCCTTCACTAGCACCGCGGTGCTAGCCGGGTACGAAGCCATGGATGTGGCGGACAGCAACCCGCAGAACACCGTATACGATGCCAAGAGGTTCATTGGGAAGATATTTGAGCCGGGTCTCCTGGAGCAGGAGAGTGCCAGGTACCCGTTCCAGGTGGGTCAAGCTGGGGCTCATTGTCAGTGGGGGAAGCTTGGGTAACTGCATTTACTGGCAAAGTGCATGAACTTTAACAGCTGTTAGTCCTTTTAAAATATAATAACGCATACATTGGTTTATAATGTTTTATAATAAAGTTTAAAAATAGGTAGATAGAGATTGAAGGGGGCACAGCAAACATGTGGAAGATGTTCTGGTCAGGTGAGGCAAAGCTTTAAGTTTTTAGCCAATGTGCAAAAAGCTATGCGTGACCAAACCTGCTGGACGCACCATGCTGTACTTAAAAAACGACAGTGGCAGCATCATAATGTGGGAAGGCTTTTGTTTTTTTTTTAGCTACATGCATTTATGTGTTTTTTGAAGGTTTAGAAAAAAACACAGCAAACTTCTATATTCTGTGCTGCTTTGCGTTGGTTTACCTCATGAAATCTCAATAGTTAAAGTTTGTAGCTTGGTCTTGTGAAAATCTGAAAAAGTTCAATTAGTCGTGAAGATTTTTGAAATCCACTGTAATTATCAAGTAAAGCTGTACTAAAACAGCTCAGTGTTGCTCCTGTCATCCTGACCCAGATGACTTTAGTTCAAACAGCTTCTGCGTTTGCATTTTGCTTTCTTTCTAAAAGCTTTATTTTTTTCCTCCTCTGTCCCACACTTTGTCTTCCAGGTGGCGAACAACAATGGAAGTGCAGAGTTTGTGATCTCCACCAACCGCACCTTCACCGTGAGCCCAGAGTTCATCGGCTCCAGGCTGCTGATGAGGTTGAAGAAGATGGCGGAGCGGCAGCTGGGCGCGCCCATCCAGAAGGCCGTCATCTCGGTGCCCGCAGAGTTCGACGAGCGACAGAGAAACTACACGGTCCGCGCCGCAAATCTCGCAGGTCAGGTGATCAGAAGGACAGTTTGAAGCCACACCAGGCGCCTGATGTTGCTCTTTTCTTAAAGTATCTAGTTGTCTAATCTGAAATTGCAACACTGACTGTCTGGTCATGGTTCGACAGGTTTGGAGATCTTGCGTGTGATCAACGAGCCGACGGCTGCAGCCATGGCCTACGGCCTGCACAAAGTGGAAGTGTTCAATGTGCTGGTGGTGGACCTGGGGGGAGGGACCCTGGATGTGTCTCTGCTCAACAAACAGGGAGGCATGTTTCTCACCAGGGCAATGGCAGGTAATTGGTTACAGCTTTTCAAATCGACTGTGCGGCATGTAAAAGTCATGCAGTGCTGTGAAAAAACATCGCATCATAAAAACACTCTATGATGTAGCTTTTTTTTTTTCATACCTACATGCTCCACGATTGATAGATTTTATTTGTCATGGGAAAAAGCTCTCCTAACCTACCTGGTTGTGTATGGAAAAGTAATCACCCTCTTCGTTAAATCATATTGAAATGATTTTATCCACATTGAATTCAGTTTCACAAGTTTAACTCAAGACTTTTTACTGCAGTGCTGTAGAATCCGCTCATAGAGCTTACAACATGAAATGGGCTAAAAATATTACAACAAAGTCTGATTATGAACAGTAATAAATTGGCATATATTGGTAAATTGAAACTGGATTCTCTGTTGCTCTGTAAGTGTGGTGCTGGAAAAGTTTGAAAAGTTATCTTGGAAATGCTTGAAAAATGCTGCAATTTTATGGTGGGGGAAAAAAAAAAGTACAAACTTTGTTTTTACTCAGGTGATCTTTGTCCTTTATCATTTAGTAATTATCTGACACACGAGGGAAAAAAATAAAAATTGGTAAAATCGGTAAGATGCATATGTATTTATAATTATTTGTTAATGGAAATTAAAAATTGCACCTTATTTCACAAAAGTGTGGAAATAAGGTGCAATACAACTTTGTTTTTCTTGTAGAATCAATGTGAAATAATAAATCAGATGTTTTTAACAATATGTTATCAGGTAATAACAAGCTGGGAGGTCAGGACTTCAGCCAGAGGTTGTTCCAGTACACCAGCGAGCGAGTCCGGCAGCAGTTCGGCGTCGCCCCCATGCTCAAGGAAGACATCCACCGTCTGCGACAGGCTGTGGAAGCCGCCAAGCTCAACCTCACCCTCCACCCCACCGCCTTAATCTCTCTTTCCCTCCACCTTCACGCGTACGATGGCTCTGGGTCCCCCAAGGATCCTGCTCCTCCTCCAGTTCACTTCCAGGTGGAGGTCAGTCGCAATCTGTTTGAAGAGCTCAACCAGGACCTCTTCCTGAAGATCTTGGTCCCAGTGAAGACGGTGCTGGCCGAGGGCCACCTGCAGAAAGAGGACGTGGACGAGATCGTTCTGGTGGGAGGGTCCACCAGGATACCGCGCATCAAGAAGCTGATCAGCGAGTACTTTGGGAAAGATCCCAACACGTCGGTGGACCCCGACCTGGCTGTGGTCACGGGCGTGGCCATCCAGGCTGGCATCATGGGAGGCTCCTGGCCGCTGCAGGTGAGCGCCATAGAAATCGCCAACAAACACCTTCGCAAGACAAATTTCAGCTGATCCTGAATCAGGAGGAGGGAAGCTGCTGGTTTCCTGTTCCTGTCCACCGCGACGCTCCTGGTGGTTGGAGAGAAACGGCCGACACAATTCGGCAAGAAGCCAAACGTGCGGCTTCTTGCTTTTGTTTCCTCTCTGACTGAGAAACGTGTCAGTTCCAAACAAAGTGTGTTGAAACACTTTTCCTGTGTAGGTGATTTAAAAACATGCTTGCTTTTATTGCACACTCAGCTTCAGCAGTAACAACCGGTTTTAGATGTGTTCACTGCTCTGTAGCAGGAGGTATTATGATCATTCAGGAAGCAGTTTATTTAAACTTTGAAGACTAGCCAGAACATTTTTCATCTATTTATTTATTTATTCTCATTGCATTTCTCTGAGTGTGTGCTCATGTGTGTTTTCAATGGACCTCTGCTCTTCCATCTGCAAGCTGATACATGGCGTATTGGTGCCTTTTCAGAAAGCTGCTAATCTGTGTGAAAAGCCTCGCTCCATGTTAGCGCTTCTCATACCACTGGTTTACTGCAAATCACTGGAACCTAAAATATGATGGTATTTAGGTTCATTTAAAGTTTTTTTCTGCAGAGGGGGCTACTTCCCTCATAACTCAAGGGTTCCCTATAAGGTCCAGACTTTTCAGGTAACAAATGAGGGATCGTCCCAGAATGCTTTCTGTTTTAGTCCCATGGTTTATTTGCCGCCAAGTATAATACAAAAGACAAACTCAATGCACTTTGATTCATACCCGTTGGCTAACTCTTCTTCTTTTGTGCAATAACACACTGTAAACACATCATCTTGGTGTTGGACTGTCTGCTTTGGCGGCTGAAGCTCAGTTCTGACAGTCCAGCATAGGACCCAAAGTGTTGTTCATCAGTGCCTTGTTTGTATAATGTTGTTAAATGTGTTTGTTAAATGCAGAATGTTTAACAGACATTTAAGTGAAATTATGTCTAATATCTGCCTGTGGTTTAATGCATCTTTTTATAAACCAGATTTGAGCTTTTCTGCTTGTGGATAAGGTCTCAGCCATGACCTCATAAAGGACCCAACATTCCTGTCAAACATCACAGCATTGTATCTTTTGCCAAACTTAATTTGTAAAAAAAAAAGCATAACCTGAATTCATGTTGAATAAGCTTCTATATAGAGACTGTAAAGATCACATACACCCTTATATACAAGATCTAAGATCTATTTTTGTACTGGAAGTTTTCAGGATCATACCGAAGTTACTTGATAAAGAAGGGAAACTGCTGTGAATTGCCGTTTTTCCACATTAAAATATCATTCCTCATTAAGTCTAATGGCCTTTTCTCAAAAACCTCAACCATATTGTAACCTATGCAATCCTTGTCACACACTGGTAGCCCTTTCAGCTACCAGTGTATGGTAGCGCACACTGGCAGCGCTACCTCAAAAATGAACATCAAGTTAAGATACATTTCATTTAATCCATCTTTAATCCCCGGAGTGTGACGCAGTGTTACCAGTAATATCTGTATAGATGTAATGTTTGTCCTATCAAAATATGTGTTTCCAGACTATTTCCAGTCCAACAATGCTTTTGCTTCCCAAATTCTTAGATTATTTTCTCATCAAAAAAAATGTTTGCATCCCTTATGGAAAGGTTGGAGGTTTTATTCACAATAAATAAAAAATTGCACACCCTATTTTTGCTTGTAAAAAAATAGATACAGCCTATAACTTTATCAGGTCTCTTAGCGGATGGATGTAAACCACTCACTCAAACCATAACAATGAAACCAAGGGTCGATAATATAACTTAATTTAACTCAAGATTTTCTTAGAACATTTCATAAAATTGATAACTTTTGGAGATTATCTGCAGAACAATCAGGGTGAATGTTATTTTGTCACATCGCAGGAATCAAACTAAAATTTACAATGAAAAAAAGGCAAGTGGTTTCCTAGTATGTTCTCCCTGTTTATATATAATATCCCTTCAACCAGCTTCACTTTATTTTCCAGTACAGTATTTACACCATAAGTCACATGCAATACGTTTCCCAACATGAAAACGCCAAAGAATGACAGCAAATCAAAGACCAGCCTGTTCATCTTGTAATAATTAAAGTGTCACATTGTTAAGTTATCCTTATGATTATACATTCATCATAACACTGCACACAAGGTAAAAAAAAATATACCCAGTCAGAATTCATACATTATATTGAACACATTACAAAAGGAAACACGAACAATTAACCAAGAAAAAGCAAATCTTAACCCTAGAAACCATTTTCCACCAGTTCTTCTGGTTTTACTGGGAGCACTGCTCACAAAGTCCAGAAGTTTCCAACACTTGGATCCAGTGATCAGAAGTACGCCATGTGGGGAGTATCAAAATACTTTACATGCACCGTGTGAACATGGAGGAGAAGGCAAAATATCTGTAAACAGTTTTATCTCTTTCAATATAAATATTTTTATGAACTACAGCAGAGACTGGAGGCAGGACCATCATGCTGCCATAACATTTACAGATCCTAATATAATAATAATTAATTGCTTTGGAAACTTAGCTTTATCCAATTAAAAAAAAGTGATGGGGAGCCCCTGAACATTTGGATATTAAAGTAGGAATCATCAGATTCAGCTTAAAACAAGTATGTGTAGTCTTGTGCAATAAGTCTGTGAGGAGAAACAGAAACAGTATTTACAGAGTGTACAGAGGCCAGCGGGGCGTTTCCAGCAGCTCAGGAGGCTCACAGTTCTCGTCAACAGGACTGATGCTTCCTGCGTCACCACAGCAGACAGACGGAGCAGAAAATCACTGGTTGATACTCTGATTGGTGTAGGAGTCAAAGCATTGCTCTTCATACAGCTCCTCAGCACTGCCACCGTTCCCAACCTCTAGAGGGCGACAAAGGATAACAAAAAATAAAAAGTCAGCGTTCATAAACTCCTGCAACTTCCTAACTCCTACTTGCATTTACTAGCTCCATAGACTTACTTTTGCTCCCCAGGGCTAGAGGTTGTCTAGACAAACTGGTCTACAGGATCTCCTACTTTATGTCCCAGTGGGAGGTTTATGGGGGAAGATGAGTGTGAAGAGGATGGAATGATGGATGGATGAGGGAGGGGGGGGCGAAGGGCAAGTAGACAGAGAGGTTTAATGAGCGATGGGGAAATGTGTGGTGGAAAGGGGAGACAGTCACTGCTTGCGAAGAGAATGGATGAGGTAGGATGGTCAGGAGGCGATACATCACACAAAGGATGCTGACGGGGGAGCCATTACTGAGGCTGAGCTTTGACATGGAAGAGAGGAAGGAGAGCAGCGACAACAGTCACAAACACACACATGCAGGTCGACAGGGGTTCCAATTGATTTGCTACTGGTGAGGTTAAGAATTTAAATATGTCTTTTGGGAAACAAATGTAAAAAAAATAAATAAATCAGTTCAGAAACCCAAATCAACAAGTAAGCAAGTATTTTTCAGGCTAGCAGCAGAAATCCTACCAGAGAATATCAGTTTCTCCTTCATGACGTTGATGTCTCGACTGGACGTCCTGACTGCAGCGCTCAGCATGATCTGTTCAGGATTGTAGCTGTGTATGCCACTCATTCGATACCTGCACGGGTCACAAAGTTTGGTCAGAAATCACACAGAGGTTTGGTTTCAACTCCAAGTACATGAACATGAGGGAAATGATTTGGACTGGAACGAGTTAATATTCAAATTTAGCTCTAAAATAATTTCTAAACTTTTGTTCAAGTTTGGCTGTCAGGTTTTGTTCTTGGAAAAAGTTCTCTGCTGTCTGAGGACATGTCTGTTAATCGTGACGATGGATTAAAGTAATATCTTCATCTCATATTGAAATGAGTTTGATGATCTGAGATATGAAGGTTGATTAAAAACAAGATGACACACCCATATTTCAATAACTAAACTGTAAAGAAGATACTGTAGAAATACAGTTTTACCACCATTAATACAAAAACCCTCGTTTTCAAAAGGGTAATAATTAATACATGCTAATGCTAATAAATACGTTCTGCAGAACGTTCCGAGTTGCTTCTTTTCAGTGGATAAGCTCTCAGGCTCTTCAAAGAGATCTTTCATGACTCAAAGACCTTCACACAATGGTTCCTAATTTACAGAACTAATGCTTGATTAAACAATCAGGGAAAGGGCATTATGCAAGCGAAGCAATTAATAATGCCGCGCATCCGCTGAGAATACGCTGCATTATTCAGCAGCACTGCACATTTTAATGAACGGACCTTGTGTGCAGCTGCAGTTTACGGTTTTTCCAATTTTATTGAGGATTACGAGTCCGTGTGGGACAACATGACCTTTACATTAATGAAAACAACTGTTGTAACAAATTTCATTAACTTAAAGAGCATAACTCACAATAAAGTCTGAATAATGAGCAGAGGCAGTTGGATGTGAAATGTATTTGTTTTGTAGCTTTTATAGGTAAAAGTTAAGCTTAATCATATTCTCCAAGACATTAATATTGATGAAATATTTATAATAGTATTTTGAGTTTTGGAAAAATTAATTTTTCATTCCCTTGAGGAACAAATGGTTCAGAAAAAAGGTAGCAACAACAAAGATTCAGATGTAGTAGAGCTGATGAAGATGACAACAAGTACAGAAAAATGGTGGGATTGGAGAAAACGCTGACATTGACTTTATATAAACAAGGAGAGCAACAATATAGAAAAAACAAGGTGCCTATAGGTCAAAAATGCATTAAACAAAAAACGTGTGTGCAAAAACAGAAACAGGGTAAAAGTGGAGAAGACCTGTGGGTCAGAGGAGGTGACCCGGTTACCTGATCATGTGATAGCTGACAGAAGATGCCAGAATGCAGCAGGAGAGGAGGAGAGCATGCACGGCAGGCAGAGGAGAGAAAAGGAGAGAGAGAGAACAAGGCAGAAAGACAAAAAAGGACAAAAGAAGACGGGAGAAAAAGAGAGGTGAGTTTAAATGCCGGCAGAAGCTAAGCAGAAAACACACTTGTACCGGATGGTTACAAGGACAGAGAGGGAGGGTTGGGGTGAATAAGCTCTCCATCCAACCCAGTGACAACATGTTTCACCACAACAAACAAAATCAGTTTTCAGAGAAACTCAAACACAGGAGGAGCGTTGAAGGTTAATCTAAAGCTTCCATCAGCACGAGGAAAGAAGGCAGCTGCAACAGCTAATAAACCAAAAAACAGGCAAAGTAAATTAGCGTTAACGTTCTCCAGTCATGACTTAAAAAAACAATATTAGCAGCTATGATGTAAAATAAATACTAATCAAGTCAGGCGGTCTGCTGTCTAATAGCTCTATGTGACACATTGGATCAGACTAAGCTGTAAATGTGGAAACAGTCCCATCAGCAAATTGGAAAAACCTTCACTTTTGTATGTGCACTTGTTTTGACAATAATCATATCATAACATCTTTGTACTTACTTTTGCAAAATGAATATTCCTATGACTACAGCAAAGGAAATGAGGTCTGCAGACACCCATATCAGCTGGTAATTTCTTATGCTCTGAAAACACAAACATGCAGTTATTATAAACTTGAATTTTATAAAGTCCACCACCAGATGGAGCCATATTTCCAAAACAGATTTTATCCATGCAAACCAACATCAAAACCTCAAATTGGAAACATTATAGTATATTTGGATCTTTTCATACTTAGTAAAAGAAGGAGGTGGTTATTTGAACTGAAAACAATAAATAAAATGTCAAATTAGTTTAGAGTGTACAGAAAGCATCTAGCAACATCAGTTTTCAAATCTTGCTGTAAATTAGGGGTGTAGCGATACAATAATCTCACAATACGATATGTATCGCAATATTTGGCAAACAATACAATTTGATGCATTTTTACAACTTTCTGAAAGATTTTAGAAGGGCAGAGTGATTTTACTGACATGTTGTGTTCTATAGACTTGGATTTAATTCACTGAAAACTGATTAAAAGAACCAACTACACAATGCCTGACTGATTAGACAGAGTCTAAAAGGCTATGGACAAAATGAATCAAAGATGCAGTGAGACAATTAGTTCCTGTCATTTAATTAATGTGGATTTGACATAAAACTGAAAGTTTCAACAGTGATCCAGGAGCTGAAGATCATAAGCCTCTGAATATTCAAATGATTGCACTTATGTTTTTCTTTTGGACTTAATGTGGCTGCCTTTTGGAGTAAAAAAATCTTTTGGACTAAAGGGAAAAGGCTTTTCTACCTTGGCTCCTGGAGTTAGCTGTGGCTGTAAGCTATTTACTACTAACTGCTGGGGGAATGGCTCGATCT